GTTGGGGAAGAATGGGCACGCAGAGCCCAGCTGAGGCTGGGGAGTTGACCTGGGCTCTGGGACCCTAAACCTCCCTGATATTGTACATGTGCCCAGAATCAGCCCTGGGAAGAATTGAGATCGCTCCCTGTACCCCAGTGTGCCCAGGTATCGTGTCTGGCAGTACCTGGCAGAGACTCACCCAGTGTTCCCAGCAGGCATGCAGTAGCCAGCAGCGCTTGATGGGCGTCCATGGATGTGGCCTTCTGCTGCTTTGGCCTCAGTGAGCTCGGCAGCCAGCCTGTAAAGGTGTCTGTCTCAGTGTCTCACTCTCTGGGAGGGAGGGGGCACCAGCAGAAGTGGAACGGAGAAGCACGGAGAGGCAGGCAGTATGGGCCTACGTCACTACCATCTTGTTTGAAGTTGAACTGTCAACTTCCTTCTGGTGAAACCACCTGCCCCAATTTGAATGGAGGCCCGAGCCTGTCGGCTTCCTGCTTGAGATGCTCAGAGTTGGGATAGTACCCACTGGCCATGCTCATGCGTGAACGGAGCCAGGTGTCCTTGTGGGGTGGGACTGTGGGGCAGAGAGAGGTGGGGACTCCAGAGAGAGGGCGTCTTGCTCTGAGGAGGGCTGACCCGAGGTGAGAAGGGTGGACAGGGCGAGGGCCTGACACAGGAATTTTCGCCAGGGTGTTCCGAGTGGGGCTGGGGCTGGGAGAGGCAGGAAGAGGTCATGACTTCAGGTCTTATTGCAGGATTAGTGAGGAAAACTCACGTGGAAGCCCTGTCTACCCCCTCTGCCCCCTCATGGTGGAACAGACTGGAAGTCTGTAGTCTGCATTGAATCCCCGTGTCAGTGATTTTCAACCACAGTTCCTCAGGTGGTGATGCCCCCAACCAGAAAATAATATTTTCGCTGCTTCTTCATAACTGTAATTTTGCTACTGTTATGAATCGTAATGTAAATCTCTGTGTTTCTGATGGTCTTAGGTGACCCCTGTGAAAGGGTCATTGGACCCCCAAGGGGTTTGATCCAGAGGTTGAGAACTACTGCCTTAAGGGAAATTAAAACAAAACAAAACAAAACAAAAAAAACAAAAAAACCCCCAAAAAAACCAAAAAACCAGGGTCTTGTTAGGTAGCCCATACTAGCCTGGAATTTGTGGTGATCTCCTGCCTCAGCTTCACAAATGGTAGAATTAGAAGTGTGAATTACCATGCCTAGGAGCCCATGACTGATATTTTACCAGCAAGTACAGCAAGGAGAGTATCTTCATGAAAGATGGATTTGTCCCAGTGTGTGTGTGAGTGAATGAGAGAGAAACGGAGATCTCGTGTTGGTGTGATTGGTATGATACCCCCATGTTGGGTGTGTGGTCTCCATGTTAGGTATGAAATCTTCATGTTGGGTGTAAGATCTCCATATTATGGTCTTGGGAATCTGGACTCATTCATTCATTCATTCATTCATCAAACATTTACTTTGTGCAAGATCTAGAAATGCAGCCCGGTGGTGGTGGTGGTGGTGGTGGTGGTGGTGGTGGTGGTGGTGGTGGTGGTTGGGGTTGTTGTTGTTGTTGTTGGTGGTGGTGGTGCACACCTTTAATCCCAGAACTCAGGAGGCAGAGGAAGGAGGATCTCTTTGAGTTCGAGGCCAGTCTGGGCTACAAAGCAAGTTCTAGGACAGCCAGGGTTACACAGAGAAGCCCTGTCTCGAAAAAACAAAATAAAAGAACAAAACAACAACAACAACAACAACAACAAAAACCAACCAAGCAAGCAAACTAAATAAAACTAGAAATGCAAGGAGGAAAGAGAGAGGCCCAGTGCCTCCCTGCCGTGACCAGGGGCCCCTATGACTTCGTGTTTCTGTTATTTTTCCTTTGGCAGTGCTGAGGATGGAGCCCAGCGTCTCATGCTCACAAGGCAAACGCTCTGCCAACTGAGCTGTATGCCCAGCACCTCTCTGTCTCTGACGTGCCCTTCACAGCCTACGGGCTCACAGTTTACAGAGAGCGCTGGGAAGAACTCAGCTGCACCTCGGCGGCGCACTGCCCCCAGCCAGGAGGGATGGCCTCAGCCAGCAAGGGCATCTAACGCGGCTTCCAGTCTCATACAGGAGGAAACTGACACCCCCCTCTACAGCCCCCCAGACCCTTTCTTCTTTATCAAAGGCAGCCCAAACTCCGGACTTTAGACTTATTTCCAGTCTTCCCCTTCACAGGCGCGAGGGTCATCTACTAGGCGGCTTCCATTCTGTGTTCCATCCTTTGTAGAAAACTGAAAGTATCACCCCAGTTACCTGCTGTGTACCTGCGGGAACCCTCGTGATGCGGTCCCTCCACTCCCGGGTCTGTGGTCCCCTTGCAGCCCCTGGCTCCTCCCCCCACCAGCCCCCTAGTAATTACCCCACGGTGGGTGGCTCTGCCCCTTGCATCCCTCCTGGCCCCAGATCCCAGGCGACAGTTTCCTGTCCTAACACCCGCACTTTGCACTTTCCATGACACAAGAGGAAGTCAGCTGAGCCGGCTGGGTTTTCCATGCCGCTGCTTGGTGGAGGCCGAGGTTGGGGAGGGGGGGGGTGAGCCCCCTAGGCCAGTGTCAGAGCCTCAGCGGCCTCCGCGGGACAGACACATGCCCTATTGCCGGGGCTACACCAGGTAACCTCCGGAGAGTTGCGCCGAGCCCTGCTCTTCTGGGCCACTTCTCAGTGATCCCAGACACCTGTCCTTTTGGAAAGGGGAGTCGGGGGAAGCAAGCAACAGGACACAAGGGGTGTGGGGGAAAGGGGAGGAGCCGAGGGTAGGAGGAGAGCAGGGTGGGGGCTGAAGGCTGAGGAACGTGAGGACGCTTAGTAAGAGATCGGTATTTGTTGAATGACTGAATGAACTCCATAGGATGGATCAACTCCAAGTATTTGTTTGTTGAATGACTGAATGATCTCCTTCTGTACTTGGCAGTCCTGAGCATGACCAGTGCAGCCTGGCTTTCCAGTTTCCCTGCGCAGCTTAGGGAGTGTACCCTCTGCCCAGGCTTTGCTCCTTCCCTGGGAGTGGGGAGTGTTTATGTGTGGGGTTTGACCACACCGCTTGCCTGCTGAGGGAGGGGTGCTGGTCCTTTGGCACCTGCCGGTTGAGTGTGTGACCTTAGGTGAGTCCTGCCGTGCTGGGGTCCTCAGTTGGTTCCGGTGTGGCATGAGGATGACCCTGAGACTAGCTGTCTTCTAGACACCTGCCTGTGGAGGGGGTGGGAGTGGGGTGGGGTGCGTGCCAGGTGCCCTCAGAGGAGGGCCTTTCTGTTTTGGGACCTAGAGGATTTGGCATCAGCTTGAACTCTTGGGAGGAGCAGAGGTCAGAGTCTTCCAGGGTACTTTCCCTGGGCCCTAGGGGGCGGCTCGGCTACTGCCTCCATTGGGACAGTACCAGCCCCTCACATCTGTGGTGAAACTGAGTCACTTAATGAAGCAAGTTACCCAAATCCCCCTTGTGTGACGCGTTTGAAGGAGGCTGCCCTATGACATGCCCCGTGGAGTATTAGCACAACTCTGTCTCAGAGGGAAGGTTGTAGACTCTGTGGTCGTGGACTTCCAATGACAGCTTTCACAGTTGGGGGGAAACAGACTTGGAGTCTAGAAGCCAGCCTAAAATCTGTGTGGAGATCTTAGCCAAGTTAGTTCCCCTTTCTAAGATCCACCCTCCCCCATTGCCTGGCTTCTGGAAGCTTCTGTGCTGATGACACACGGGGCTTGTGAAGCACAGAGTGCCCCTGGTGTGAGGCCAGTCATCTCAGGCTTGGTCCATGCTTTCCCACAAGGGGTGTTATGTGGAGGCTTTTGGATGGAGTGACCAGCCGCCCCCCCATCATTATCGGTCTCCCCACAGCCAGCCCACAGCCCCGACTCATGCTTTCTCTTCTGGTTTTTTTTTTTTTTTTTTTTTTTCCCTCTTATGAGCGACACTGAGGTTGTTTGACTACAGGGTAAACATTTGAGTACAAAAAATAAGGCTGCCTCAGGACACAAGCCTATTTTTTGGATAAACTAGCTACCCGAAGATTAGTAGGGTTAAGTGAATGCCCCAAGGTGCACGGCTCGGCAGCAGTGAAGTTTCAAAGGGACCTCCAGACCTCCTGGCAGGTGAATGTCCCTTTCTCACATGCTACCTGACTCGTATTTCAGGTGGCCGCACCCATTTTCCTGAAAGGAACTCTTGTGGGTTACAGTAGAGATACCGGGGGACCATATGGCGGCATATCCTGCTATGGCCTTGGTCCGGCTGCCATCTGTAAAGCCGTACAGATGACCATACAGAGCCTGAGTTGTGAGGTGGACCAGCGCACTGTGGGAACGCACCTAGTGGACCTCTATATGGTAGAGAGCTAGGGTAGGGTGGGGGCAGCAGTCCTTATTCTTAGAGTAGTGGACGACCCCAGCCGCTCAGAGCAGTGTTGGTCCTGAAGCTGCTGAGGTGGGTTGGAAGCTCTCCTCCTGCCTTTTGATCCCCCAGCCCAGGCTTGCTTTCCTAAGTACCCAGTGCTTGGACCAAAGCCTGCTCCCGACCAAATGAGCGCACCAATGGCAGGGATCTTTCAAGATGGGCACGTGAAACAGACTGGTCCCTGAGAGTTCCTGCGGGAACTCACAGGAAATTGGGACAAGGTGTGGGAGGGGCCTGCCTGGGGGGGTGCTGTGGAGAAGCTGTAGCCATTGCAACCTGTGGGGAAGTCAGGGGAGGTGGAAAGGCATTGGAAGGATGAACAGTTTCCCATTGAGGTGGTGAGATGGGTTTCCTAGGCCGAGGGAAGAGTGAGCGGATAGACAGCTGGGTCCTGTAACGTAGTAGCTAGTGTGGGACAGGTGAGAAGGTGTGAAGCTTGGGGAATGAGCCCTGGCTCAGCCCTTACTGGCTGTGTGTCTGAGGTGGAGGCGCTCCCCTGGACCGCGGTGTCCCTGTGAAATAAAGAGCCTTCTCCAGACGGTCACTGAGATTCCTCAGTCTGTGACCTCACAGGGTCAGAGTGTCATTTAGAAAACTGTTCCGTACCTGAGCAATCTGTGAAAGTTTTCTTAAAAGGACCAGATGCTGAAAGCCACAGTACTCTTTAGAAAGCTCACTCACAGGGCCAGTGAGATGGCTTAGCAGGTAAATGCCCTAACCACCGAGCCTAACACCCCGAGTTCCATCCCAGACACCCACATGGTGCAAGGAGACAAGTGACTCCTGCAAGTTGTCCTCTGACCTCCTTGCCTGTACGCTGACACAGACATGTGCATGCACACACACCCAAACACACACAATAATACCTGTGGCTGTCCTCTGACCTCCTTGTCTGTACGCTCACACAAGCATGTGCATGTACACACACCCAAACATACACAATAATACCCGTGGCTTCAAAATAGTTAATAGTTCTCACACAATAGGAGGCTCATCCACAACATCCCCTTAGAGGGACTTCCTGGGTGGGAGGTAGGGTCCAATGTAAGGTGTTTCAGCCACCCAGAGGGAAGGGATAGAACAGGGGAAATGAAAGGGAGTTCTAGCCCGGCCACATCAGAAGAGGGGATGGCAGACCTGATGTAATTCCAGCTGTTCTGGAGGCTGAGGCAGGAGGATACAATTAGTGAGACTTTGTTTAAAAAATAAAAAGTAAGATGAGGGCCGAGGATGTAGCTCAGTGGTAGAGCATTTGCCTACATGAGCGAAACAAGTGATCCCTGCCTGTACTGAGCAGAGAAAAGATAAAAGGCCAAAACATCCTGGAGCACTAATGTAGAGCTGCCCAAACTTTATAACAGTCTTCGTATTGTCATCTGTTTGAATAAAAGATGCATAAAATGAATAGTTAGACAGGGTTTCTGTATCCACATAAAGGATTTTGCAGAAGTTTGAATTAAGGACAATGCATTAATAGTGGGGTGGGCTTGAAAAATATGGAAACAGGCATGAGCATGGGTGGGCTTTTGTTTTTATGGATGATATGTACATTGTTTAATTATTTTCAAAAGCATACATGTATGTCTTCTAAGGATCATTTAGAGTCCACTTACAAGGAGTCTGCAGAAAACCTCTTAATGAAAATAGTTCAGTGTGTTTGTGTAATTGTCCAGAAACATTTGAGATCTTTTCAGTGTGGTTTTCTTTGCTAATAAGAATAACTCATGCTGATTGAGAAAAGTCAGCAAACACAGTGGAACATAAAGAAAAAAATAAGTGAAACTGCTCATAGTCCTACCATCCGGGTATAACCACTGCGAACATAGTAGGCCGTATGTAAGTTTAAGTTTCTCTTTTTTCTGTTCCTAGTTACAAACAGGATCGCCTTAAGTTTCAAAGCTGGCAGCATATATAAATGATATATAATATAATCCTTCATATTTGTATTACACACACACACACACATATATGCAAGTATATGTAAATACATGTTGGTCCAGTGCTGGGGATCTATGCAGGAACTCATGTACGCCAGGCAAACACTCTTCGGAGCTATAGTCTAGCCCTTGCTTAACCTTTGAACCTGCTTTTTCTTTTGGTTAACATTTATTTATTAGTTCGTTTGTTTTTATTTGTGTGTGAGTGCAGGCATGTCTCAGCACATGCGTGCAGGTCAGAGGACAACTTTTGAGTCAGTTTTCACTTTCCACTTTGTTGAGAAAGAGTCTCTTTTATTTATTGTTGAGACAGGATCTTCACTGTGTATCCCTGGCTGGCCTCAGCCGCACAGAGATCGCCTGCCTCTGCCTCCCGAATGCTGAGGTTACAAGTTTGTGCCACCATGCCCAGCTGGCAGGGTCTGTCTTGTCTCTGCTGCACTGCATACTCCGGCTAGCAGGCCTCGCAAGCTGCCACTGATTCTCAGGCCTCCCCTCCCCTCTCACTGTAGAGTGCTGGGATTATAGATGTGCACGGCCCCATCTGATTTGGGCTTCTTGTGTGGGTTCTAGGGATAGAGTTCAGGTGATCAAGTTTGAGTCACGAGCGATTTTTACCTGATGAGTGTGCGCGCACACGCGCGCGTGCGCGCGCGCGCGTACACACACACACACACACACACACACACACACACACACACACTCTTCATACAGTCTGTCACCTAGCTTTATCCCCAGCCCATTTGTGGCTCTAAATGTCTGTATAGTACCTAATACACAGCCCTGATGTGGAACTAATCCTTATTACGGGACATTTGTGTTTATTCTTTTGTACTTAGAATAACTGTGCTATTTTTGCACAATCATTTTTTCAAAAGAGCTTTATTTCCTTTAAATGCTATTATTTGAATAAAAGGTTCTGATTTTAAACAGAAAAAAATTTATATGTGACATGAATGATGATCTGCTGGGCTTACTTAAAAAGGGGTGACCTGAGTAAGTTTGTTGCCACTGTTGGTATCATTGCAAGGCTTCCTGAGCACCCCAGAACTGTCTGGAAAGGGTCTATCTGGGGATGACTTTCAACCAAACCTCATGGCACAGATCTGTAATCCCAGCCACTCCGGGGGCTGAGGCAGGTGGATCATAAATTCAAGATCTGTCTGGACTACAGAGTAAGTCTAGGGCTAGCATGGGTAACATAGTGAGGCCCTGTCTTTAAAAAGTGGAAAGGAAAAAATGGGTGTGTGTGTGTGTTGGCTTAAGGAAGGAAGGAAGAAAGGAAGGAAGGAAGGAAGGAAGGAAGGAAGGAAGGAAGGAAGGAAGGAAGGAAGGAAGGAAGAGGGGGAGAGACAGCTTTCTGTGATGTGCTGCGTGTCTGAGCTCCCCTGGAAGACTGCCCTTCCCTCTGGTCATGACCCTCCTCTGAAGGTTGAGGCTGTGGTCTGTCAGCACTGAAGAGAGAGAAATCTGAGAGGAGCTTGCCAGCACCCAATCCTTCTGGGAGCTCCTGTGTTATTGACTCTTTAATCTCCGTAGTTCAGGGTCGTGCCTGGCTGGCCATAAAGGATGATGCAGAAATCTGTGTCTATTGGTTTTTGCATGTGTGACATTCGTGATGATGGTGATGATGATGGTGGAGACAGCATCAGAGGTGATGATGATGATGTCAGGAGAGTGAAAGGCTGAAAATGGTGATGATGATGTTGATGCCAGTGAGGATGGCACTGGTGACTACGGCACTCTGGTGCCAGGGGTTCCAAGAGGGCCTGAAGCGGCTCATGGGTGGACGTTTTAATCTTAGTATTGATGACTTTGTTAATTTGCCCTAATTTGATACACTAGAAAATGAATAATTATCATACCAAAGCCATGATTTATGCAATTGATAGAAAGTTTTGTTTTGAAGTCAGGCAAGGTGGCATGTATCTACAATCCAACCACTTGAGAAGTGAGGCAGGAGGATTAAGAGTGGGAGGTCATTCCTGGCTATGTAACAAGTCTGAGGCCACCCTGGACTACAAGAGATCTCTCAAAGAAGCAGGATTGTGTTTTGTTTTGAGAGAGTTTTTTTTTTTTTTTTTTTTTTTTTTTGGTTTTTCGAGACAGGGTTTCTCTGCGTAGCTTTGCGCCTTTCCTGGAGCTCACTTGGTAGCCCAGGCTGGCCTTGAACTCACAGAGATCCGCCTGGCTCTGCCTCCCAAGTGCTGGGATTAAAGGCATGCGCCACCACCGCCCGGCCGTTTTGAGAGAGTTTTAATCATGTTTATTTCGAGTGTAAATCCACTGAGTTGATCTAGAGGAATGTTGCAGTATGAGTAACAATGTTAGTACTTGGAGACATGAGCAGAGACACGAAGTCCATTGTCTCTGTCTCACAGAGCACAGAGCAGGCGTTTAGCATTTCATACGCTGGGGATCACACGTGTGCAGCCATAGAGCTGGAGCTTGAACACAATGCCCACGTTAAAAGAAAACTACTTTAAATGTAGCATGCACCCGGAGAAGTGACCAGGTGACTTCACAGATGGAACACATCTGTGTGAGCGGTGCCCACGGGCCCCACTGTGTGCTCGCTCCCACTCGCTACTTGTACCCAGGTATCTAGTAGTCCTTTCTTGTTACCGATTCGTTTGACCTGTTCTTGAATTTTCTCTGAATGCTATCAACCTGCCTGTATCCTTTTTCCGAATTTACCCGTGGTGTTTTGTGTAGGCATGTTCTTTCTCTCTTCCTAGCTGTATAGTATTTTGATGCATTGTCAAACAACCGTTGATTGATGCTCTCTACCAAGATGGGTGCGTATGTTGTACAAGTGCACAATATTTACCTCGAAGCTCTGCTGCCACCCACAGATTGCACATCACAGAGTAAATAGGACTTTCAGAGAGCTGGTGATTGGGGAGGGTGTAAAACACACGAAGCCACAATGAGGGAGGGAGAGAGCTGCTTTTCTGCTGCACAGTGGCCGTGAGGGTGGGGCGGGCTGTGGGCCGGGTGGTCCTGGTGATTGGCTCTTGGGCTGCGGTTTGTAGTGTCTCATCTCTCAGCCCTGGCAGGTGGTGGCAGTACCTGTTCTTTGGCTAGAAGTGAGGGAAACGCACCTAGGTTAGGGAGGTGACTCCAGCACCCCACGGAAAGCTCAGGTCTCTTCTCCCCACTTTGTTCTAGCGGCCTGAAGACTCTAGGGGACCTTGCCTGCGACCAGGAGACCTTCTGTGTCTCCTTCCTTGAGGACTTACAGCCTAGGGGTTTAAACCTCCTTCTGAGAAAAATTTAAAACTCGAAGGGAGCTCCACCCTTTTGTCAGCCCAGGACGCTGTCTGTTGGGTATGAACTGCACAACAGAGTTTTAAAAATTGCAAAACAACAGCAACAGCAACAAACCATTTATAGTGTTTTAAGTAGGTTTATGATTTTATGTTGAATCACATTCCTAGCTGTTCCAGAACCCTGTGATTACATATGTGTGTGTGTGTGTGTGTGTGTGTGTGTGTGTGTGTGTGTGTGTGTATTTGTTTTTTTGAGACAGGGTTTCTTTGTGTAGTTTTGGTGCCTGTCCTGGATTTCGTTCTGTAGACCAGGCTAGCCTTGAACTCACAGACATCCACCTGGCTCTACCTGGGATTAAAGGCATGTGCCACCACCACCCAGACCCTGTGAATATTTTAAAAGGGAAATGAGTTTCTTTTACTGTTTTGGAATGAGACTCTGCCTTCCCTTGAATATCTTTTTATTTCATTTGCAAATGAGGAAGGTCCCTGTTGC